GTCACCGGGGGAGGGGGGACTCTCCCCCAAACCTCCTGGGCTGGGAGCTCAGGCTGCCGGTGGAGAGGGAAAGCGGCGTCTCACATAGGGGGGAAAACCTGTCTCCCCCTCCCCCCATGGACAAGCTCTATGCTGCGCCAGCAGCAGCTGCTGTTTTCCTGTTGTCTCCTGTGACTGGGCTGCAGCGCTGTCAACGCAGAGCGTGGGGTTTCAGGGGGAAACGGCCCGTGGCTAAGCAGTGGGGTTAAGAGGCCCTAGTTGCCCAGCTGCCATGCGGGGTCCTAGCATGGGAAAGGAGCCCTGTGGGCTGGGAGCTAGCCCAGCCTGTCCTCTGAACAAGAGGGTGGAGCAGCAACCTGGGCTCCACTTGTCACAGCAGGGTGTGAGCGTAGCCCAGTCGTTCCCTGCCTGTCCCATGGGGCTAGCACCGACCCCCAGCCCTGCTCTGGCTAACCCTCGGGAGCTGCAATTCCAGGACCGAAGCCTCGGTGGAACAGCAGGGGCAGAGGGAGCTTTCTGGCTTCTCTGTGCTGCTCCGAGACCAAGCTGAGCAGGGGCTGCCTAAAGCCACAGCCGCCTTTCCCCTGCGCCTTTTCCACAGCCCCATGCTGGCTGCCCTGCCTCCTGCACCAGCCTCACCTCTGAAGGGCAGCGGGGCAGACAGAGGAGAGGGCAGCGCCCCCTGGTGTTTCCTTAACCCCCACTCGCCTGCAGTACATGGTCATTTTAGGCCTGGTCTTTCTCTTCCAGCTGGGCGTCTCCTGTTCATGTCTGGCCCTTAATACGAGCCGCCAGGTAAGTCGTATTGCCTTAATACGAGCCCTTAATACGAGCCGACGACCTGGAGAGCAGCGGGGCAGACAGAGGAGAGGGCAGCGCCCCCTGGTGTTTCCTTAACCCCCACTCGCCTGCAGTACATGGTCATTTTAGGCCTGGTCTTTCTCTTCCAGCTGGGCGTCTCCTGTTCATGTCTGGCCCTTAATACGAGCCGCCAGGTAAGTCGTATTGCCTTAATACGAGCCCTTAATACGAGCCGACGACCTGGAGAGCCTGTTCAGCCAGCGGAAAGGGGCACTGCCCCTTTTGGACACAAAGCAAGGGGTTGAGTGGGTGATGGACGCAGCCTGTCCCAACTCATGAGCTGCAACCCTTTTCCCAGTAAGTGCTGGGCCTGGCAGGCCTTCGCTCACCCCTGGGGGTGAGGGGGATCCGTTGCCCGGTGGGGCTGGCTGTGTATCCCCATACCTCCGGCACTCAGCTGTCCCCTGTGGAATGGGGGCCTGCAGGCTGACCAGACCTGTGTCCCCTCCCAGCCTCTGCCCCAAAGAGCTTAGGCCAGGGGTTGTTTCAAGTAGGGATGTAATGGGGGGGGGGGGCACCCCCTCCCCTTTAACATTCACATCCCTAATCACAAGTGGGGTCCCATCTGCACCCCCTGGCCCTGTTCTGGGGGGGGGAGGGGCTAGCTCCAGCTGCCTGGGTACAGGTCGCCAAGTGCAGTGTGGCGCCTGCTCTCTGCAGCAGGCTGGACTGCGGGGCGAGGCC